AAAACGTGCTTTGTCGTTACAAATTTACACTTAAAAGCAAGTTTTCTGGTGCAACAAAATAAAAGGTCGTTTGAATCTCAGCCCTTGGATCTACTACAGAAGATCTCAGCCTTTCGTGAGGACTATATAGTACTCTCCAATAGAGATTCTAGGGTTCATTTTCTCATGAAATTTTGCTGTGCGCAGCCAAGCTATCAATCACTCTTTTGGTTCTTAATTTCTGACGAAGTCTCATCTTCTTGAGTTAAGATTACATTGAGATTATTGTGCAGTCGGTAGACACTTTACAGTTTGTTGATTCTCTTGGAGCATATTGCATACAAGGGAGACGTTTTTGTCGAGGCTGGTCTTGAATCATCAGGTCTTGTGTAGACTGCGCGGTGTATTTCTCTAAACTACTTTGTAATTCTATTTTGGAGATAATAGTGCAAAGGGACTGTTAATCCACCTCTGTGGAGCTCCAACGGTGAACATATAGCTTGCTCTTTTTTTTTTGTCTGATTTCTTCTTTTTGGTTTATTTAACATCTGATTGTGATATTGCCTTGTGCTTGAGATGATTGCGGTGCTAGGTAGATTAACACCAACCCCTCTTTCCCTCCCATAAAATTGAATGTTTGGGTTTAACTTTATGATATTGGGAATTTTTTAACATTTCAGTTGACAAATTTCAGTTATGATGGCGTGATTTAAATATTATCAGATTCGGATGTGACGATGAAGAATTCTTTTGATTTTTTTGTGAAGTAAACAAATTGTTCCCATGATTAGGAAATTTTAAAATTTCAGTTTATGGCAGCTTTAATGAGAATTAGAATGTTCGTAACAATTAACTTCATCTTGGTATTGTTACATGTAATTATTTTAAAATTGCATTAAGTTTCATTCTTACTGGCTTTTTATTCTACTTTTTTAAATGTGTCTTCCTTTGCCAATGGTTAATGCCCTCTTATTGGTAACGTAAATCTAAAGAAAATGTCATCAGAAAGTGTTGTTTATGAGATTCAAAGTTAGCTGCTGTAGGACATGGCTTTGTGAAACTTGAGTTTAAGGTTGATTTGATGCCATTATGTAACTGTAGGCTAGTATCTATTGATGAGAAATGTAAAATGCTGAAGTCTTTGGGTTTACAGGTGATTGCCCATATTTTGCATGTATTTTCTATTCTATCGTCTGAATTTCGTTTGAGCAGTAATCTGATATGGACCAAAAATTGACTAGCTGTTGACACACAAAAATGTACAACCCAATTCAAACGGCCCAAGAGAGAAAGCCTAGTTAAGGAGATCGGGATAAAGGCCCAATCAAGAATGTCATTAAATATGATGAAAGCCCACAAACAAAGGAACGTCATCGCCCAAGCCCGCAGAACGCCCAGAAATTGAGAGAATGAAGTACCTTATGGTCGCCCAGAGCGAAGGACCAATCGTCGCCCAAACTGCTGAGTCGCCCAGAATCCTAGCGATAACTAAATCCTGTTGTTATCTAAAGTCACGATTTAAGGTGGTTTGAGCACGTCACGACTACACCCCACGATTTGAGAAAATTAGTGACAAACAGTTATGAAGAAAACGTGGTGGTAGAAGTTACAAATGGTAGTTATTGGCCAATCAGTCATTATGAAAGAAATGGGTAGTTACAAACAGTTTCCAAACGGTTAAGAACTATCCAAGGAGTATAAAAGAAAGAAGAAGGCAATGAAGACACCCCCCGAAAAATTCACTCTCAAATAGAGAATATGTAATTTACTGTCTTAGATTAACTTTAATTAATTTGTTTCTTTGTACTCGTGTGCTTGCGCCACTTGGAGGCATCTTGTTCATATCCAAATTGTAATCTTCAAATTCGATAAATACCGCATTTTTGGGACTTTGTTCCAAAAGGTTTGTTCCTTACACAATCGTCTGATCCTCTTTAATTGTTAGCGACAAATCACGCTAAACAATTTGGCACGCCCGGTGGGACAATTGGTGTTCAAAGATACAAAAGGAAAGCACTATGCCT